TATATGGTAACAAGTCATGATTATTAGAAAATTGAATTCAACTCTGATTATCCATGGGAATGACACAGGCCTCCTTACTTTAGTAATGAGGACCAAACTCTGAGAATGTCTCCTCCATAGACAACTTTCGTTTTCGCCCAAGGCCTACTTTTCCAAGGATGGCCACTAGAGGGCGCACAGCCCACAGAACGCCAAATAGCTTTCAACACCTATTGTCCAGGAATCTCATGTTCCCCTGAAATTTGTCATTGAAAACACACTCCTGCTTTCTTTCCCAAACTAAAGGCACCATGGGGAAGAAAAGAGTGATAGGTTTAATAGAAGGGACCTCAAAAATCATTTAGTCAAATCCCCCAGCCAACCCAAGAATTTATTCAATGTCTCTAACAAGTAGTCATATAGCTTCTGCTGAATATTTCCCAATGGGTCATTTCTTTCTGTAGTTGGGTAGGTCTAATCATTATAAAGTTGTTTTTTAATTTTATATTTATTTTATTTCTTTTTTGTTACATTTTGAGTTTCGAGTTCTCTCCCTCTCTCTCTCCCAACCACACATTAGAGAAGGCCACTATTTGCTACAGATATAGATGTAGAACCATACAATACATACCTTGATATATCAGTTCTTTTTCTGGTGGTGTATAGCATTTTCCTTCAAAAGTCCACAGTTGATTTGAATGTTCATATTACTCAGAACAGCTTGTCATTCACAGTTATTTTTCCAGCAATATTGTAGTTACAGTATACAACATTCTCTTGGTTCTGCTCATTTCACCCTGCAAGTTATTTCTTATTACAGCCCAAATATCCCTCTGTCCTTTCTAACCATTGACCCCAGTTTTATCCTTTGGAGATAAACAGAACAAGTCTAATCCTTTCTCCATATGAGGACCTTTCTAAGTATTTGAAAACAGGTATTATATTTTCCCCTAAGTGTTCTGTTCACCAAAGAGGTTGTTCTTCCTTCAACCCTTTCATCCCTGGTCATATCCTGGTCTAGGGATGTGACCCAGTTTGTCAGCATCTCTTTAAAACCCTGGTAGTCAGGGGTGAATAAGATAGCGGGAGGAAATACAGTGGAACCATAACCTCCTCTGTTCTGGATACTATGTTTCCATTAATGCATCAGAAGGCAGCTTACCTTTTTCTGCTGCCTTTTGCAAGGGTGGAGGATCCATTGATTGCTCATGCTGATTGGCCCACCCTACTTGATAGTAGTTAACCTTTGTTGGGTGGGAACTGAACAAACCAGAACTAGATGCAACAGAAAACTTGCTCTGATTGGAGGACTTGGTTGTGTTCTAAGAAGCTTGTGTGAAAGCAGGAGCTAATTAAGAAAAAAAGAAATATTTCTGGGTCAGGCAAGTGTAGAGGAAGGAATGATTTCTAGGGTTAGGCCTAAAAGAACTGGCATCTGGGGAAAAGAGAAAGAGAAAATAGGACTGAGGGGGCAGCTAGGTGGCACAGTGGATACAGCACTGGCTCTGAAGTCAGGAGGACCTGAGTTCAAATCCAATCTCAGACCAAACACTTGACCCTTACTAGCTGTGTGACCCTGGGCAAGTTGACATTGAAGACCCCAACTGCCTTAAAATAAAAGAGAAAGAAAAGAAGTAGGACTGAACTAGAGAAGGGAGATTGAGATGCTTGGCATCTGGGAACAGAATCATTGGGCTGACACCACCAGTTCTACCCATCTCCTTGAAGACTGAGGGAAGTTCCAAGAAAAGTTCCTATCAACAAATACTATAATATACTGTGCTTTTTCTTTATACAAATGTTTCTTGTAACCTGAATGCTGCCTCACAAAGGGACCAGGTTTTAATTAGAGATAGATTTAAACATAAATTAAACCAAACTTTTTCTTAAATGTTAGGAATTTTCCTAACTGTAGGTTTGGAGTGATTGTAATTTCACTATTAACTTTTTGTCTAAAAAAACCCCCAAAAGCAGGAGAAGGAGAAAACATGGGGATCGAAGTGGCCCTAGGCTTAATATGAGCTAATTATTGAAGCAAGCTGCTGCACGTCATACATACTACATACTAATATCAAGTTTGTCTTCCACTAAGACCACTGCATCTTTTTTTAAACGTTAACTGCTTTCTACCTACATCTCCACCACACTGTACAGTTTGTTATTTGAACCTAAGATGTTTTCCGTATATTCATTCTTCTGTTTAATTTTTATTTATGCCTTTTAAAAGTAATAGAATCATTTTTTAACATTCTCCCATCGAATCCTCTTTTGTAACAAAGAAAAAATTGAACAAAACTCTACCAGCAAGGACAATACACACAATATCCTAACCCCACAGCCCTCAATCTCTCTATGGAGAAGGAGGTATGTTTCCTCCTCCATTTTAAATGTCATCTTGTTACTAACCCATTGAAATAGTTTGGGATTCTGATTCCATCTCCTATCATTTTAACGATTCCTCCAAATCTCCTGTCAATTGAAAGTATGATAAGCACGGCTTCATCTAAGATATTGATTAAAAATATTGAACACAAACCCCAAAAAGAGACCTGTGTCACTCCACTAAAGACATCTTTCAAGGTTAATGTAGATACAATTAATCCATAATCTTTAGACCCAGTTGTTCAACCATTCTGAACCCATGTAACTATTACTATCCAGCCTGCATCTCTCTGTCTTTCCACCCAAATTTTGTGAGATAGTCAAGTGCCTTCCTGAAACTCAAATATGTTGTGTTTGATATTCCTTTAATTTACTTTTAGCAGACTTCCAGCGGACATCTAGAGCCCCTCCCCAATCACATTCTTTACTATATTAGTTTTTCTTGTAACTATTTTAATTATAGCCCTAAAACCTCCATTTGCCTAGATCTAAATCTCATTTTACTGAGAGAAAAACTGAAGCACAGATAATGTTAAAAAAAAAAAGAACACAGGAGGAGTCTTTTCACTATTTTTTTCACTACTTCGTTTTCAACAGTTCAGAGTAAGTAAGGGGAAAGGAGAGGACAGGGTCGATTTGGATGGGATAAAGAGTGATCAGTCAGCAACCTCTCCCTCCTCCCCACACCTTTTGAAATTGACTCAAAAGGATGGACACAGGGGATTTGTTGTGAGCATTAACTCGGTTTTTGGAGCCTCCTCGTAACACAGAAAGGAGTGGGCACTGAACTGCCTCTGAAATACAGAGGGCTGGAGGTGGAGATTAGAAGCTAAGACGTGGATAGAGACTGTAAGAGGCAGAGCAGGAGTTGCAGTATTGGGTATTAATGCAATTAAGGTCTCCAGGGCTCGGGCGACAAAGAGGCTGCGCTCTTTTTTCCTCCTCTCCTTCCTTCTCTCCTACGCAGACATTCTCAGCGCAGACCCCTGAAGAATAACTAGGGGAATAAAAGACTGGGGTGGAGTTGGAGGTGGGGGGGAGTGGTGAGAGGGAAGAAAGATGTGTCTCCAGCTAGTTAATCTCTAACTAGGCGGCCCGGCTTCCGGGTTATAAGCCCGGACTCTAGAGCCCCGGCTACCCAGCGTGGCGCCACTGCCAGCCCTGGGGGACAGCGCCGCCCCCTCCCCCTCCGGCCAGCGGCTAGGGCACCGCCTCCAGAAGGAGCTTGGGGGTGGGGAAAGAAGGAAGTAAAGGCGGAGGGGAGAAGGGAAAGGAAAGCAGAGGAATAGGCAAAGGAAAGAAGTGGTAACGCTGTCGGGGGACTGATGACGAAGCATTGCTACCCACCTCCTGACAGAGGAGTGATGGACTCGGGGTGCAGACTGAGACCTGTAAACTTTTTGGATGTGGACAATGAGGGGGATTTGTTTTACTTGATCATGCATATTTGTTACAAGGGTTTTGTTTTTCTTTTCTTTTTCAATTGGTGGGGGAAGATGTAAAGGGGAGAAAAAGAAATAATTGCTTATGGAAAAAATAAAACTTTAAAAAAATGGGAAATAGGGGAGAAGGGGGAACATGTTTAACGCCCCCTCCTGGTCAAAAGTTGACATCGCATATAAAAAGATATTTTGTACAGTTTTTTCCAAGGACTGCTAAACTTATTGCCAACGTGACGTCACTAGCCCATCCTTAGATTGCAGGAGGAAGAAACTAAGGTCCAGGGGTAGGGTCTGGCATGCAACCCCAGGAGTCCAGGATCCCCAATCACAGAGCAACGTTTTGAAACTTCCGCAGCCAGCAAGCCAATTTCTCTGTCATTTTTTCATCCTCATCTCCTACCCCTAGACCTTCCTTCACTATTTACAGATATTACTAGTTACGCAGAACTGGAGAACGCTTCCCCTTCCCCATCCTTTGCGGAAGTCGGGAGAGACCTAGAACAGGCAGGTTGCCATCCCTGGAGCATCCAGCAGGGGTCAGTGTCTAGCTGCAGCTGAGAAGCCCGAACTGGGTACCGCTTTGCGCTGCCTTCCAGATCCGGACTGTGAATACTGCCTTTGAAGATGTGGCAATGTTAGAGTATATGAATATAAATGGGTGCTATTTGTAAAAGTGGGTTTTTATCTGTGTTCACTTTTACCTGTGTGACTGTCCGTTTGAAACAAATAGCTCTTTAAGGTTTATGAAGCGCTTTACGTTACATATATATACTTTTATTTTTTCCCCATTACATGTTAAAAAACAATTTTTAAATATTTGTTTTTTAAGTTTTGAGTACCAAATTCTAGCCCTCCCCCACTTCTCTGAGACAATAAGCAATCAGATATAGGTTACACATGTGCAATCATGTAAAACATTTTCCTGTGAGTCATTTTGCATAAGAAGTCTTAAGTAAAAGGGAATAAAAATGAAAGGAAAAAATGGGAAAATAGCATGCTTCAGTTTGTATTCAAACAATATGAGTTCTTTCTTTGGAGGCGGATAGTATGCTTCATCATTAGTCTTTTGGATCATTGCATTGTTGAGGATAACTAAGTCACTCACAGTTCTTCATTGTACAGTATTGCTGTTACTGTGTACCACGTTCTCCTGGTTCTGTTCACTTCATTTGCATCAGTTCATGTAAGTCTTTCCAGGTTTTTCTGAAATCATCTTGCTTGTCATTTTTTATAGCACAATAATATACTTTATGTACATTATTGCAATTTGAGGCTCACGCTAACCCTGTGAAGAAGGAATTACTGTAATTATTATCTCAATTTTACAAATGAGGAAACTGGGGCTCAAGTGACTTGCTGATGATAATATAACTAAGAGTCAGTGGTGGACTCTAATTTAAATTAGATGGAAGGTGGAATTAAAGTCCTGGTCTCTTCTAAATCCAAATGTTTTCCAGTACACTATGCTGCCTTACAAATCCAGTTCAACGCAGTCCAATAAGTATTTGTTTCTCAAAGGTTTTATTGGTTCCTCCCATAATATTTTGGGAGGGGGGTTCTTACTCTTTTAAAAATTAATGTTATTGGAGCAGCTAGGTGGCATAGTGGATAGAGCACTAGCCCTGGAGTCAGGAGAACATGTGTTCAAATCTGTCCTCAGACACATAACACTTACTAGCTGTGTGACTCTGGGCAAGTCACTTAACCCCATTGCCTCACCAAAAAAAAAAAATCAATGTTGTGGTTTTTTGTTTCATTTTGTATATTATCCACATATACTGCTAGTAGTAGGAGTGGATACCCAGGAATATCTAGGATCCCTGGAACTCAAAGTAACAGCAATCTTCTCTGGTCCTAATCTGAATGTGAGTACCAAGTTAGAGGAAGTTATCAAGAAGGTATGATAGAATTAAATTTTCTTCCCCACTTCTCTAAAGTAGTTTATTATAAACTGGTTAGCCATTTTATTCATTTATTTATTTATTCATTCATTTATTTATTTATCTGTTTGTTTATTTATTTATTTATTTTTTGGCTAGGCAATGGGATTAAGTGACTTGCCCAGGGTCACACAGCTAGTAAGTGTTATGTGTCTGGGGCCGGATTTGAACTCAGGTCTTCCTGAATCCAGGGCCGGTGCTCTATCCACTGCGCCACCTAGCTGCCCCTAACCATTCCATTTTAGAACAGTTTTTGGGGGTGGGGGACTAAAATGGTGAGTTGTATACTTCCATCTACGGAAAAGGCTAATCCATCTTGCTAAATACTTAAAGACCTGATACAGGGAGTTGCAATATGAAGGAAGCCAACCAGAAGCAGCTGGTTATGTTCAATATCACAGTGCTCCCCATCATTGATTAAACTATCCCCAAATGAACAGGACTCTTCAATGGTAAAATTATATTTATTACCTTGTCTATCTCTAAATGTGCTTGTTACAATCTTTAGCCAAACCTTTTCACCTCTTGAATTCTGGACAATTCACTATTTTGTTCCATCATTGCTAACATCCCTCCCTCTGCTCCCCAACCACAGATGGGATGTGGCTTGTTGGGTTCAAGATTATAATTCAAATAGATCTCTCAGGTGTAGTCTTCCAAAATTTCTGTTGCTATTATCCATCAGCTGATAAGACCATTTGCATTCATTTTTGTCCTCATCTTCCCTCTCAAAGAAAGGGTACCAATTTTCCAGAGGGTATAGTTTTGTATGACATATCACTGATGGAATTCATTGCTTGTATCATATTGGTTAAACCTGTCATGATTCTTGCCTTTGGCCTGGTAGACATTGCAGGTCTCATCAAGAATGCTATGCTTGTGAGCACATTACTATCCAGGGATAACATCCCCTTGCCCATCCCATGTCCCCTCTGCTAGGATCTAAGCCAATCATTCATTGCACAGACAGGAGTGCAGATGACCTACAATAATAATTGATATAAATTTTTATTAATATATTTTATTTTTTTGCACCATCAAAATTTCCCAGTATATCTTTTCAAGAGAGTCATTCCTTATAACAAAGAATAATAAGAGGAGGAAAACAATTCAGAAAAATTAACCAACATATTGAAAACATCTGGCATTATGTGTGATATTCTGTACTGATAATCCCCCATCCCTAACTCAGCAAACAGGTGGGGGAAGGTACTTTTTCTTATCTCTTCTTTGGGGCCAAGCTTGCTCATTACAATTTCATAGTGTTCAATATCAACCATTATGTTGTTGTTATGCTATAACTTATTTAGACATTTAATAAATATCTACTTTTTTTCTTTCTTTTCTACTACAAGAACTGCTGCTACAAATATTTTTGTGCATATGGGGCCTCCCTGAGGGGTAAGATTTTCCTTTGGTCAGTAGCATCACTCCCCTAATCACCTAATCTCCTTAGTGTCTGGCACATAGTAAGCTCTTTTTCTTTTAAACATTGCATTTTAAAATTTTAAATTTTAAGTAAGTTTTTATTGATGTCTTATTTCTTACATCATCATAGACATCCCAACTATCCCTCCCCCTCCCCTTCTCAGAGAGTCATCCCACAAAACAAATAATTTTTTTAAGTGAGGAAAAAAAATAAACACAACTGGTTGATACATTGTAAAAAACAAACAAAAAACTCAAAAACATGGAATACCTATGGACCTTCCACCTCCACAAAGGTGTGGGTTAAAGTGAGTTCTTAACAAATATTTGTTGTCTAGACTTGACTCAGGGTTCAATGGGGCTGATCGCTCTGCCAGGAGGATGTAAAGAGTACAGTAAACTTGTCTGAGGCTCCTGCCTCTGAGGGAAAATCTCCTGTTCTTTACTGACCCAGCATCCTTCTCTCTATATCTGCTCATTAATGATTTATACTTTTGTCAAGGTAAAACCCAGTGTTCAACTTTTACTTTACTTTGAGAACTTTATCAAATACAACTATTAATATATTCTCTCTCATTTAGCATGAATCCCCAATCAACACAGAATTCTGATGATTTTAGTAAAAAGATCTGAAATTTTCTCTCTTTCTTTCTCTCTTCATATACACACACACACACACACACATGCATACATACACACATATACATTCATATATGTGTGTGTAGGTATATAATATACATACACACATACATACATATATGTGTATATAATATACATGTATATTTTAAATCAATTTTCCTCTCTTTTGGTAACTCCTTTTTCATAAATAATTAAATAAAAATAAATAATTTTGCAAATAATTAAGCATTAAAACCAGATTGGTTATAATGATGCAGCAGGTAGAGTGCTGGGCTAGACTCAGGAAGTCCCGATTTCAAGTCTGGCATCAGACATTTACCAGCTGTGTGACCCTGGGTAAGTCATTTAATGGTTTTCTGCCTCAGTTTCCTCAACTGCAAAATGGGAATAATAATAGCACCAATTTCCTAGCCTTGTTGTGAGGATCAAATGAGATGATATTTATAAAGCACTTAGCACACAGTAGGCACTTAAATGCTTGATCTTTGCCCTCCTTTTGCTTTATACAGTCATTGTTAGCTGATTAAACAGAAAGTAAACAACTTTAATGAAAAGAGATAAGCTTTGGATTTACAAATGTTCTCTGGAGGAAGAAAGAAGGGAAGGTAGAGTCTTACCTTCCTGTGAGTTCTCTTGCGTAGAGGTTGAGGCTGGGAGAGTTCAGTGCAATCCTACCCGGCTCTTGTCTTGGCCCCAGGCATGTCCCATCTGACCATGGAGAGAGGAGATATTTATAATATTCCCCACTGGCACAGCATCTCCATTTCTTCCCTAGCTCACCAAAACAAAACACTTACCTTAAGCTCCAAGAGCCTGAACTTCCAGGCCAACACTCTAGGTCAAACACTCCCACTGTGGAAGCTGGAAGTCTAGTCCCACCCCCACTTAAGCAAGGGGAGTACAGGAAGGTGCCTTTTCACTTGCCTGTCAGGAGTCACGGTTTTTTACACACACACACACACACACACACATATGTGTACACACATATACAAGTATACATGCATATATACACATATATACATATATATACATATATATGTGTGTGTGTGTGTGTGTGTGTGTGTGTGTGTATTCTCTTTTCTGGAGAGAGCCTGGCAAACCAAGATGTTCTGTCCTGCTTTACAGAACATCATCTCCCAGCATGTAGTTTTTCTGTGTCAAAGAGAGCCAGGATTATCCTTTTTTTTCCTTCTATTAACCCATACTGACTTAGCAGTTCACTGTGATGAATAGAAAACACAAGAGATATAAATTCTGAGTAATTAATGATCAATTAATTAATTAATTAGACTAGCTAATAATAAATTGATGACCAGTAGTTTCTCTCAGAAAACCAAAGACCCCTGACAGAGTCACTGAATACTTTAAATACCTTTGTAAAAGGGGATGTCCTTGACAAGAGAAAATCAATCCTGATTGGTGGACTTTTAATGAGGAGATGGGCTAGAAGTCTTCAAATTCTTCCTGCTGAGAAAATGTGGCTTGATCATGAGACTCAGTTGCCTCCAGCAATCTGGACAGCCTTCTAGCAATCTCTACCTAGCCCACTCTGGTTTGTTTTCTCCTTCATGAGCTGGGCACCTTAAATTTTAATGGAGGGTTACAAGGACAGGGGCTCATTTCCTGGGGGAAGAACTCACTTAGACTGGATTCTGCTTGTACTCTAAACAGAAGTAAGGCCTCCTAGTTGGGTCAGATCTGGCCCAAGACCGAGAAGCATATTCCCTGAGAGTTAGAGACATTTTATCAATCACTCATGTTCTTCAGAGACCTTCTATAGGGTCTGGGCCCTAAATGAAGAAATAAAAACCTGGATCCTAATTAATAATGGATTATTAACATAACAGAAAATAATTTCTCTCATCACTACAGTTTCCTTCACTAAAGTGTTCTCTTCTTTAGGCTAAATATCTCCAGTTCCTTAAATTGATAACATAAGAAGGGTTGAGTCCCTTGGAGCATAAGCAGAGCTGCCCTGCTTACTTCTAGCCTACCTTGTGTGCTGGCTTAGTGATAAAGAGTTATGACAGTTTGGGATGTTGAGGCAGGACCTTTATTGGTCGATTATCCTTGTGATGGCTGCAGAGGAGGGGCTGCATCAGTTTAAAATGGAGAAGCAACGTCTGGCTTGCTCTCTTCCTTTCTGTCTCTGGAATGTGGGAGAAGTAGTTCTGTCTGACTGGGCTGGTCCTTTCTTTGACTGTGACAGAATTAATTGGTGGGCTGCATGAACCTAACTGCTAAAGCAGTTGTGTGTAAGGAAGGCTAAGCCTGGGCCTATCTTGTTCAATTTCTTTGCCTGGTTGTAGGTGACTGAGCATTGGTCCCAACATGGATGTATCTGGCTCAACCTTGTGAGTTGGAGAGATCTGGGGATCCCACAATCATCAGTTAGTGGGAGAGGAGTAATCTTTGTATCCACTAAATCACTTCTGGGAGGAAAAATGACCACTAGATGAATAAATCCAACTCCTAGTGTGACTTCCCAGAAGACATAGACTTGAAGGGAATTGTTTGAACAGTGCACAACTGAGGTGAAAAATGAAATGTTGGTTTATCTGTCCCACAAACTTCTTCATATCTTGAAAGTTCTAAGTTTCAACCTCCCAGGAGAATATAGAAATAGTTTTAATTCTCAGTCAATGAATATTTGTGGATCTTTGTGGTTAGAATTTCTTGTGTGTGGAAGAAATAAATAGCTGTTTCATAACCTAGTTTACATGGTACAACAAGAACCTTTCTTTTCTTTTTCTTTTTTGTTTTGTTTTAGTCTTAGAAAGCTCCTCTGGGAGAACTGCAAGATTATTATTTTTTATTTCTTTATTTTAGTTTTTAACACTCACTTTTATAAGATTTTGAGTTCCAAATTTTTTTTTCACTGAATTCAAACTTCACAGAACAAATCCCCTTAATAAAAGGATCTGTTCTGTAAAACTTGGACTTAGTTAAAAGGCCAAACTCAAGGACCTAGAAAGTCACATGTGGTCTTGAGGCCACAGATTCCCCATGTACATGTACAATCATATTAAATAAATTTCCATATTAGTCATGGTGTGAAATAAGAATCAGAACAAAAGGGAAAAACCACAAGAAAGAAAAAACAACAACAAAAAGAGAAAATATTATGTATGGATCTGCATTCAGATTCCATAGCTCTTTTTTTAAAAATTAATTTATTTTTAGCTTTCAACAATCACTTCCATAAGCTTTTGAGTTCTAAATTTTCTCCCCCTTTCTTTACTCTCCCCTCCTCAAGGCATCATGCAATCTGATATAGGCTCTACACACACATTCCTATTAAACATATTTTCACATTAGTCACACTGTAAAGAAGAATTAAAACTAATGGAAGGAACCACAAGAAAAAAGAAATTAAAAAAAGAGAGATAAAATAATATGCTTCCATCTGCATTCAGACTCCATGGTTCTTTTTCTGAATGTGGAGAGCATTTTCCATCATGAGTCTTTTGGAGTTGTCTTAGATCCTTCCATTGCTGAGAAGGGCTAAATCTACCAAAGTTGGTCATCACACAACCTGGCTGTTACTGTGTCCAATGTTCTCCTGGTTCTGCTCACTTCACTCAGCATCAGTTCATGTAAGTCTCTCCAGGTTTTTCTGAAATCTGCCTGCTCATCATTTCTTATGGAACAAGAATTTTCCATTACATTCGTATACCACAACCTGTTCAGCCATTCCCTAATTGACAGGTTTCCCCTCAATTTCCAAGGGAAAAGGCACCTTCCTGTATTCTCCTTGTTTTCCAATCACTACTAAGTGGAAGGTGGGGGTGTTCCAAGACATGGAACCCCTCCCTTGGATCTTTCACATGCTGGCTGGGGTGGGAGAAAAAGAGAAGTATTTCAGGAGTGTCTCTAGCACTCCAGAAAGAAAAGCTGAGATGGCAACCAGGAGGTTTGGGAATATGGTTGGAAGTGGAGTATTCCATGTTGTAATGTGATATTTTTACATTTTTGTTGTAATAAAATATGAATTACATTGCTGTGGTTTATTGACTGCCTGTATTCTGAAAATCTGGAGGGAGAGATCATTCAAAGTGAGAGAGAAAGCCCAGCAAGGTTGTGGTGGAGCCACAGATTTTTCTATTTTTACAATTAATTATGAGCAATATTTCATCATCGTCTAGTCAGAAGCTGAACAGTGGATTTTGATTTGCCCTAGCACCTGTGTGGGAGGCTATACACATGCATACCAGAGAGACTGATTAGACTATTTGACTAGTGATTTCACTAGAGTACCACCCAGTAAACAGCTTTAATTGGTATCTTGAGTGAACTGAATGATGGGATTGTGTTTTCAAAAGTGAAGAGAAGTCATTGCCATTATAATGAGTGAGTAGGTTGATTCTGGCTATGAATTTTTTCTCACAGCTAAAATATTGTAAATAATTATTTGTCTTTTATTGTTGATTTCATTGCTAAAATTATATATTCAGTGATGTTAATATTTATTTAATTCTAACAAATTATGGGATTTTACATAGAGAGAAATATGAGTAATTACTGTTAGGAAGGAAGGTTTCACCAGTTTATTGAAGAATGAATGGATGAAAAGTGTTTATTAAGTACTTGCTAGGTACCAGGCATTGTGTTAAGCCCTGAAGACACAAACAAGCAAAACAGTCCTTGCCTTCCAAGAACTTATATTCTAATGGAGAAGGCAATACATGTAGAACAGCAAGAGCTGGACAAGGGTGATGTCTGTAGCAGACAGTACACACATGGCAATATAGCTTGGAGATGACCAGAAAGTAGCATGCTTTACCCAAGACTGGGTGAAACAAGGTGAAAGCTCACCAATAAGAGCCCAGGGTCCTCCTAGGGCAAAAGTCCAAGTCCTGGTGGGAAGAGGCTTGAGACGGAGGCCAGAAGGCAGGCAGTATGGCATGGAGATGGCCAGGAAATAATATTTAAGGAACTGGGGTGCGGAGTGGGGTGGCACTCAGTCGAACTCGTAATTAATGAGAAAAAGGTGGCAATTTTGTTAATTAATAAGAAAGTATTTAAATGTACTCCTGGCTTACCTTGGACCTCAGGATGAAAAGGGCAAAAATGGATATGAATCAAATAGAAAGCTGGGGGATTATTGACAAGTGAATGTAGTCAATCCTAGAACCTGCTGTAGATGTTTTAAGCCGTAACCTTCCGGGAGAGTATAACAGTACAGTTATGATATTCCTGCTGCTTCTTTGGTCCATTTGTTCTTGTTGTTGTTTTGTGCACAGGAAATAAATAGCTTTTCCATCATTTTGGGGAGACCCCAGACATGAACCAAAACATATATTATATGTGATTTTCTTTAGGGCATTAGGGTAGAAGCTTAAAGAGCTAACGACAGTAAGTCAAAAGAGCCTGGCCCTTCTTTTGGGAGGTTAGGATCTCCCTGCTTTGGATTCCTGAGTCTAGAGCTGAGAGAACCACTTAGTGGAATGGGAGAGAGAGGTTGTTCCAACCTTCCTGGTCCCTTATATCCTCGGAACCCAGGAATGTACTTTGAACAAGAGTTTCCTCATCTGAAAAATGGAGATTATAAGATCTGTTGGTACCTACTACCTTCCTTTGCAGCAAAGATGTAAACTTTTATGAGCATGAGTAATTCAGACAGATGTATGGGAAGATGTATAAATGAATACTGACAGAAATAAGTGAAACACGGCAAAAAGCATGCATGATGATTACACTTATGGAAATTAAAAGATTACTAAAATGAAGCTGGATCATTGTAAAGACTAGTGTGGCCCCCAGAGAAGAAATGATGGAGCAGTTCCCTCTTTTCATCAGAGGTGGGGGACTATGGGCATGAAATGTTGCTTATGCTGCCAGATGC